GTCTTACCAGGAGAGGACAGCAGGTTAGTCCAGCTATTTCAAATGAGGTGCACACCGTCGTACGCCCCCCATCACGGTGAACTGAAATCTAAGTTGGGAATTTGCTGAACGATACTTTGAAAGAAGTTATAGAGGTTTTTCCTCTTGCTTTTCTCTCGAAAGCGCGCTGGCTCCCAAGCGGCCGGGGCCTGTAGCGCGCGACATAACCACTTTCGCGCAAAACGGGTGTGATATCCGTGTTCACGAAGTCAAATAACCACCGGGGACGGCACTCCAGCGAAATCTGAGATTTTTACTCAACTCCGAAAAATGTGGGGTTGGGTTAGTCATGACTGAATACTGACAGTAGGTCTAGCCTATCACCGATGAGTGGTATTCTTGCTGAATAACTCGTTGGCCATGCATTTCCTTGAAGAACAGTATCTGGTTCATGTTGGCACCACCTTCATAATTTTCTTGATAGCAAGAGGGAGGGATTTCAACTTAATAAGGATAATCATCGGTGATAGGTGAGCTCATAGAATACCCCACGTTTTCGAAGATGGGTGAACCTCACACATTCGGCTGGAACCGTACCTATAGGGGCAATCTGACCCGCTGAACATGAATATACAGTCCTCATCATTGCGGACCGGTGGGGCGTGTCAGCCAGTATGAGTGTGCACACTGTTGAAGCCGTTCTCAGCCTTTTTGTTGAAACGCGTATGCGACAAAAAGTGGTAGAAAACGAGTAATACGAAGGATATAATACAGTAATGTCACTTGCCCGCTTCAACAACTGGTGCAGAACGACTTTGGCACCGCGCCAAACGCAGCCGCACTGACACGCCCCACCGGTCCGCAATGATGAGGACTATACCACTAGTTGAGAGCAAAAACCTTTGTGACATGTGTTACGAGAGGGACAAGCACAAGCACCCTTAGAAGCCATGAGGGGTCTACACTGGTGAAAAGCTGATCGCAGGTCCTCTACAGGCGAGAACTGCTGAGGAGGGATGCTTGAAGCTTTGTTGAGCATGTCCTAGAAAAAGCAAAAAAGCGTGAAGACATGGGAACTGATCCCGTGACTTCATGCTTATCAAACCCGATCACTACCAGTTGCGCTCCACTGCCACGTTTCATTATCCTCTCCTCACTTATTTGAAGACGCTTCCACAACTCCATGAGATAGCAGGTGAAACAACAAGGCCGAGAAAGCCAGAATTCTTTAGCAATTCAAAGAGAGTTTTGCAGCTCAGCGTCAGCAAGATGCAATGCAGCATCGGTCTAAATTCATTTGCAAATGGCGACGGACTTGACTGTAGGCCTTCCCGTGGCGTTAGGCAAATCAGTGCCAATTGCCTGCACTAGACGGAATTCGATTTTTACAGGCCATGTAAGGCAACAAGACTTATCTCCCACCTCTACCATCTGATAAGCTTGCGTCGCTATCACTGAAAGTTTTAGCAACTTTAGCACCCAACCGCGCCTCTAACACGTGCGAGGCACAGACTACACTTCTTAATGGGAATTCGTAAGGAGAATAATTATAAAGCCGTAAGTTATCACAAGAATGCTGAGTTGTGGGCAAAAGTCGGACCACGGGCGGGACTCGAACCCGCATCTTCTGCTTACCGGGCAGTTGCGTTACCACTTACGCTACCGGGGCCACTTTTGACCTCTCAGCTCAATGGCTATTTGTGCCATTGCCTTCGAGCACTCACACGTTCAACGTGATGAGCCGGTTAGCCGATATCGGCAGTGAACCGCAAGGCTGAAGGCTTTTTTTCGTGTGTCGGACCACGCTCGGACTCGAACCCGCATCTTCTGCTTACCGGGCAGTTGCGTTACCACGTTACGAACTTCGTGTGAGTGCTCGAAGGCAATGGCACAAATAGCCATTGAGCTGAGAGGTCAAAAGTGGCCCCGGTAGCGTAAGTGGTAACGCAACTGCCCGGTAAGCAGAAGATGCGGGTTCGAGTCCCGCCCGTGGTCCGACTTTTGCCCACAACTCAGCATTCTTGTGATAACTTTCGTATCGCGCACTGCGGCGTAAAACAGCAGTTATCAAACAATAACAGCTAAGCAACGTTATAAGCCTTCCTCGAGGGCGGGTTGACGACAAGTGGCATGCTTACGCCCTTGGTCCTGGGGTCAAGCCCTTGATCGGCTCCCACTCAGGCTCACTACTATAATGGTAAGAGGAGGATAAATGGTACCAGATTCGTTCAGAAGGGTAAAAGTACTGACATGTACATTGCCTGGAATCTGCAAGTCATTGTATAGACCACATCCACATTCAGTTAGTCACTATGATTCTGAAAGGAAGTAGTAGGAAGTGTGAAGCTTCATTTCTCTGGTCCTTATGGTATTTTTGTGCAAGAAGACTGGTGTACTGATAGTGATTTCAGAATCGGTCCTGCTCATTGAAATCGCATATGGATTGCGGCTGCTTTAATTTCCATGCTTGGCTCGTTTTGTTACGTAGAGTTGGGCACGAGCATTCGAATGTCTGGCGGTGATTTCGCCTACATGTGCTTCATGAAATGGTATTTTTCTATTCAGATGAGTATTTCGCTTTGTAACCCAAGAAATTGCGAAATTCAAAGGCACATTCTAAGTTGACCAAGTTGAGCATATAAGAAAGGACAGTCTACTATTGTGCTATTGGTGTTACACCTGTGACGTGCTTGCTCTCCGCCTTGGTTTAAACAAAGGCACAGTATCTGAACCCACCCATTTCTCCGCTCATAATGTCATCGCAAACTGTGCCTTCAGGTGGTTCGAAGATATCAAATGGAATGTACCAGTTGATCACGCAACGGAGAATGCTTATGCTTTTTCTCTTTTAACAAACAAGGTCGTATTCGTGCAAGCCTCTAACAAACTGTATGTGGGGAAATACGGTTCTCAGAGCCGCGAGCAGAGTTTTGGCTTCTCCTTCTGCGAATCGGCTTCTTGGACTACTACCCTTCAAGTTTCAAAAGGCTCCAATCTACTTAAACACTTTCCACCCACACTGCAGTCGAGGCCAACAAACCCTCTGAGGGATAAAAATTGTTTCGTGTGAACGATTTACATCTTCTGACACTGCTTGGGTCCATGTCTAACTACCGCTAATGCGCAGAGAATTGGTCTGTCTACTCGCTCTTTCTAGTCGTCAGGTCTATTAGGCAGCGTTCAGACTTTCGCAACGGCAACGCTTTGGTCCCGCGTTCGACGCGATCTATGCAATCGAAAGCATGCACGTCAATCGCATCGAACGCGCGACCGAAGCGCTGATAAGAGAACTGCACTAAGCTCGCCGAAGAACTCCCACTTTTTGAGATGCAAAAATTTGAATTGAAAGTCCCGAGCTGTATTTGTAAGGGAAGCAATTAGAGATCACCGGGCTGCATGTCATTTTGAATACTTTTTTCGCTCCATGCTCGAGTGTGGATTGTTTTCGGTCATGCTCGGCATTCTTTATCGCTGTCGCGATAAAAATAGCCGCGAGTTGTTGAACTATAGGAAACACAATAATCTTAGGAACTTCACGTGACAACCCGCATCAAGAGAGACCTGCTGAATATGTACACCTGAAGGATGGTGTGGCTTGGTGGGACAGTTCTGCGTTGTCTGCGCTTCTGCGGATCAATGTAACTTGGAGCAGAAGACCTCTGGCTGCATTTACTTCAGGACTCTAATACTACACCAGCATGTCGGAGCTAGAAGCAACGCACTTCATCGATCTCGAGAGTAGTTTTTCCAAATAGCTGATTTTTCGCTTTGGCCGGCTGAGCGGCAACGTCACTGTTTTGCTAGATGACCGTAGGTTCATTCTCCTACCCTTCCGCCTTCCCCCTTTCCCCTTTAGACATTTTAAGTAGAGTTGGTGAGGTGACAGGTAGGTTTAGGGGAGGGAGTGGTCATATCGAGACCCTCATTGTGTGGAATTGTAGAGAACGGTTATTTAAAGACAATTCCCGCGATCAAGTGTTTCGGGTAATTGGTGCTCAGTCACGAAACAGTGGCCCATTTGTAACCCCCAGTGGAAAAAAAAATCGAAAAAAACCTCGCGAACACCCTGAACACAGACCTCCCTTTAGCAGTGGGGGCGGGGCCTGGACGAGTGTGCCGGACGTGGCTGCCAGAAATCGATGCGGCAGCCGCAATTGCGTCCCGACTTTCGAAATAGGATACTTTAAAGGGACGGAAGCAGCTCGGGACCGGACGCCTCGTCCACCTACCGTGTCGAGCCTAGCGAGCCTTGTGGAAATCGCTATAACTTCCTTATCGCGCCATATTGAGGGATGAAAGTGGTATCATCTTCGTCAAGGCGTAGAGGGTTCCAAAAAGCACGAAGTCATTTTGAGGACCACTTGATCGCGGGGAGTGTCTTTAAAAATTGCGATTAAGGTACCCTGCCAACAGCCTCGATTAACACGCAAGCACATCATTCTTTTGTGGAGAATTCTAACAAAATAGGAAACCCCTCATCTGTCCCCGCTCTCCAAATTCTCTTTTTTTTAACCGCTCTGCTACAGTTAAAAAACTTTTCCCTAAATTTCGCCAATGTTCGAAAGGGATGTGGATACACGACTGGAACGGGGAAATCCAACAATCGGAAAAAGTCTCAGATCGACCCTCCTTCCATATACAGAATCCTCCTCCTATCCCCCCCCTCCCCGCCCTTCAGCTCCGATCCCTATTGTGATTTCCACAGCGATAATATACCCTGATTACCGTTCTCACTCACAGGTGCTTATAGGTGATTATAGGTGAGCTTATTGAGAATTCGACCCATTTTTCTAAAACGTGAAGGAGCTGGAAGTTAATTCAGAAGCCAACGGTTATTGAGGATCCCTTCTCAGAATTTCTCACGAGAAGCTGAAGAAACTGTTCCACAAAATCTTGTCATCTTCTGAAGCTAAAGAGTCACTTTTCAGGTATCCAATGGCATTCGCGTTCATGTGCATTGGCTGCACGATCAACTATCCTGCCACTCTGGCTGTTCAAGCTCTAAAACTTTTGCCGAATACATGTTCCAGGTAATTGGCCTCCTACAAAGTGATATCATGAGCTACTAAATATATATAAATTATATAAATATATAGAGTTTTTTGGTTAATTTGCAGGGAATCGGAATCGAACTCGATGACCAGTCTGCTTTCTGGGCAAAGAAGCTGGCCGGATTCGCGTTGATATGTAGGTAAAACTTTTATCCTCTCTGATTTTGGCACCGATAATTAGTAGTGGTGCTGATTATTCAGATCGTCACATGGCACTGCTTCTGTGAATGCAGAGGCAAAAAATCTGACTTTTATAAAAGCCCTATTTCTTTAGTTAGGAATTGGATATATGTCTTCACAGATAAACTTTTCTGCAAAAATTCTCAAACCAGTAAAAAGGGTCCCAAGCGCAGGGCTGGAAGTACGTGAAGGAGTGGTTGTATCACCTGCTACTGATTACTAGCACATCAACAATTCACCTAGCAACGGGTTTCGAATATCTAGAACTCTGAAAGCCCTCCTGAGACCAGGGAAACTGAAGACTTTTATCAAACAACATGGCCTTTCCACCCGAGAAAAAGAATAAAAATAAAGGCAGAGCCCGCAGTCGCTTATAATACCTAATGCTAAGCTCCTTGTGAGGAGAGAGGAGAGATGCAACGCACAATCTTGTGTGAGCTTCACGTCATAAGTGGTAAGGTAGCGACGTTGAAGCGCAAGGTTGCTGAAGTGACTCCTGCGGTCTGACCTCTAGCCCGTCCACATCGAGCCTTCGGCTCTCGCTTGACATGAGGAGGGCCTTATTTGGAGCGTTTTCAACGATTTTCTCTCGTCTCTTCTCTACGAAAAAGCCAACTAGCACACTTGTGTGTTCCAGTCCCGATACCTACTCATGTTTTGTAGGCTCATCTCGCTACGGTGTTACCTTTGAAGTCCTGTAGAGTTCGCTGAGTTCCATCTGATGCATCCACCAAACCCAACAGATCCTCTTTTTGCGTTTTCGCCGGTTATTCTTTTTTACCTTTCATGGAGTTGAAAAGTCATGTTAGGACTGTTGAAAAGACGAGTTTGTAGCTTGTTACAAGCTTTTTTCTTCAGTACCGTAGAGAGTTCACATCGTCCCAGTAAGTCGAAGTGACGTGAAGTGGCGAGGAATGAGTTCTCGTCTGCCTGGTCCTACCAGTGGTGGGGCTACTGGTCGGTTCACGAGGAAACAAGTACCAGGTAGGAAACGCGCGCGATTACGCTCTCGGCTCCGCCCCGACTGATTGCGGCGATAGCAACTGTACATGCGAGGTGGTGACTGTTGAATCAGAGAACAGTCAAGACTACGTAAAAGGGACCTCTAGCTGACGTTTTTCTCAGACGTCATGTCAAGGCAGGCCTACTGAGTCCTACTTCTGAGCCATACAGTAGCCAAATGAGCTACAATACCCGTTTTCTCAGAATAAAGTCCCCTCTGCTTTCTGGTGTACTAGAAAGTGCGAATTCGGCTCAGCGTTGGAGAGCTCTCAGAGGCTCACGATTCAATTCAGCACCCATAAACTCAGTACTTTTCAGGGCTGCTGTTGTTTATGAATTTCTTCTCGTTAAAAACGTTCGTTTCGCGATTTCAAATCGCAGCCTCTATAGCGAAGATCGCAGCTACTGGCCTCGTCATCGGAACCGGATTCTACATGCTGATATTCAAATGTAAGGAATGATTTTCAGGACGCCCACACACTTTGGACCGTCTCCCCGGTGGGAAAGGGATACTGGCAACTCAGAGAATTCAGCGGGCGCGAAGTGTGGGAGGAGCCTGATGTAGTACCTTGCTCTATAGTAAAAAGTGTTTGATTCAGCGGAGACGAAAAACTTACAACATCCCTTCGTGGGATCCAACTGGAACATTGGTGCCATTGTGTCGGCGTTGTTCTCCTGTTTGTTCTCTTACGATGGTTGGGACATTCTGAACTTCGGAGCCGAAGAAATCGAAAAACCCAAAAGGTAAATGCAGTTGAATTACGGACGCAGTCGGCTAGGTGGGAGATACCGAATGGTACTGAGCTAAGCCACTTTGTGATGACCTGTAAATCCCTGTGATCAAAGTAGCTCATTCAAAGGGTTTCGCAGCATCACAGGAGTTCGCAGGTCTGACCAAAGTGAGACCTGTTAGTTGACATGATCTAAAAAAGGCTAGCAAAAGTAACGAAATGCCCCTCCAAGCCAAACAGCGTATATTTATGAGCACTGGATATCACTTTCGACTGAAATCATTATTTCGATAATAAAACTCGATCCTGAAGGCATTGAAGGCCTATTTCGCGATGCGCTAATTCCTAAGCAAATTTTCAAAAGGTGTCGAGATGACAGAAAAGACGATAGACGCATAGTAAATCGTGACTTAGTAGTGAAATAATCAAGCCTCGAACGAGCCCACCTCTTCCTTCGCTGTCAATCCAGCCACGCACGAGCCAGGAAATCCGAGATGCTGACACTCCTAGAAACGTTGGAGAGAGGAGACACGTCAAGATCCATATTCCTTTTTGATCGCATTGCAGGGGTTTTGCACACGACATCACTTTAGATGCAACTTTCGTCATAGATTTCTTGACCAATATGTAACTCCGTCTTATGGTGAAAGCGTGGCGCGAGAGCATGTCAAGACAATCGTAATTAGCTGCACTGCTGGGCGTGACCGGACATGCCGCTTGCTACAAGCAAAAATGGATAGTTTGTAGGATATTCCTTCGGGAACTCTTTTTCACTAGTAGAACACCTGAATATCATGAACTATGGATGCTAGGTTTCCAGTTGCTCACCATACTCGGACTGACGCGTTGCCGCGTCCCTTGCAACACACGCGACGGTGCGGCATATTGCGATTGTCTTGACCGCCTTCTTGCTGTCAAGTATCTGCAGAAGTGGAGAAGAAAGGAGAAAATAAGCCAATTAAGTGGTGAAGAGAATCTGAAAACTTACAGAACTATGCCGTTGGCAATTGTGATTGGAATGGTGTGCATCGCAGTGATTTACGTTGCAGTCAACTTTGCCTACTTTATCGTACTCAGCCCAGCTCAAATATTGAGTAGTGAAGCGGTCGCCCAAGTACGTTCATTTGTATTTGATGAGTGGTCGGTGGTGCGCAAAAGCCATGTACAGTCTAATCCCTGCAGACGATAGGGCGTGTGACGTGGGCACAGCTCGTAGCGGCGCCAGATCAGAACTCTCACCAGTTGTAGCGGACCCAGGATAGCATCATTAGTGGAGGGCGGCACCCCAATACGCGCCGTTTCGCACGCTTTATCGTTTGCATGGACTGTAAAGGAAACGTTGTTGATAAGTGACAATAACAATGAGAGCTCTCGCAATACATACAGTTCACCTGGACTGCATTGATATAAGCCATAGCCCACAGGAGTCAAAGCAACGTGTGCAGTAGAAAGTCCAGAATTTGGTTATGGGGTCGGGTCAGACTTATGCAAACGATAAGGCGTGCGAAGCGGCGCGTATTAGAGTGCAGCCAGGGCGCCCTTCCGCCACCAGTGATGCCATCCTGAGCCCACTACGACTGATGAGAAATCTGATCTGCCTGCGCTCCAAGCCGTTCCCAATTCAGAGGCTCTACCGCCTGCAAAGGTAGTAACCCTACAGCATTCGTCCAAATTTCTATTATAAATGCCTCGAGAAGATAGCCACTCCCTAGATATACTCAAAATCCCTGAGATCGGGTAGGCGTGACTGCGTACTTAATTTTAAAATGGCGGCGGCCCAGGTTTTCGTGAGATATTTTCATTTTGGAGCAGTCGTAATCATGTCTACATCTAACACAGAACAAGATAGCAGTTGTTTCAAATTGAAGTATCCCACGAGAAACCCGTCCTATGCCATGCTCAAAAGCCACGCCTACTCCGTCTCAGGGATAAGGAGTGTATGTCAATCTCTTACATAGTACGGTTCCAACTTTCAGACATTCGCCCAAGTGGCCTTGGGCAAAGCGGATTTCATAATGCCGATTTTTGTTGCTATTCTGCTTGTAGGATCTTTGAACAGTACGATGTTCTCCGCTAGCAGGTACTACCTATTCGGTTCCCAATGTGTGATCAGCTTCTACAGCTTCTATTCTTCAGATACCTTCAAGCAGCTTCCAAACAGGGACATCTGCCAACTTTTATCAGCGGAATCAACCCTATCACTGATTCACCACGAAGTGCTCTCTTTGTACATGTACGTGATTTCCAGTTACGTTATAAGTAATTTCTTCAGTTCCACTTAACCACTAGTTGGCAAGGTCCATCCTGAAACTAGTCTGAGCGCTCACATGATACCTAAGGTGAACTCGTCCAAACATCTATCATCTTACGCGTATACTCCCCGTAGACCACATGCGACACCTCAACCTCACTTTCTGAATTTCGACCAGTCGCTTTGTTCTTTTTCAGTTTCTCACTTTTCAGCGACTCTTCTCTCACTTTGAACCGTAACCGTTTTATTGTGCCTATTGTCTTCCATCAAAGGTAAGTGGTACGATAAATCGGCAATGCGTGCAGGGTCGATATGCCTAATACGAAAGAATATTGTGCCGCGCAGCGTGGCGCTGCGTGGCCCCTTCTTCTGCTAAGGGTGCCGTTACAGCGCTCAAGCAGGGTGTCATGCCGACCCAGACGCCCACAATCGCCCGCCCTTACATGGCCCCAGGGGACATATCGGTGGCAGGTAGCTTTCATTCCTTGAAGTGCCAATCAGAATATAAAGGCTTTGTTGCATAGATGCTATGATATGGAGAGTGCAAGCTGTTTCACAAACGCGGTTGTTAGGCAGGATTCCAGCCAGGGGAACGCGCCCAAAAACGCCCTCCAATAGCCGTTGTGCAAGTTTCTTCTTACGAATTTTTGGGCTCCTTATTTTCCTATCTGTCCATCTGGGTTTTCAACGAGAAAGGAGAATAAAGCAGTCGGAAACGTCTAGATAAGGCTTTCCTCACAGAACTTTTGAATTGGAGGAGCAGGGAAGAAGTTTGAGGGGGGGGGGGGGGGGGAGAGAAGGGGTACAGAATAGAGTCGAGAAGCCGGAAAACCCAAGCATCACGCCGCGAGGAATTGTTTGGCTGGTACGATGCTATGGTAGGGGCCGTCTATACGATACCTCCGTCGAGGCGTTTCTCCTACTTCGACCCATGTGTTACTAGGTTCGAGTGCTATATGGTCCACTGAAATCCCATCAAACTCCCAACCTTCTTGAATTTTGTACAATTTCATCCGCAAACGATCCCTGCCAAAGAGATAGGCGCATTCGGAGGAAAGTTCTACCCTGAATTCACCTCAGCAGCCGCCTAGCTTGCATGGCGTTGAAATTTACCACGGAAGATCCTTTTCAAATGCGAGTTTCTGACCTTTCAATGATCGCAACTTCGTTGAGACATAAGGTAGGGCTTTGAAACCTAGAAGGTGTCGTCTTCTGGAAAAAAGGAAAAAGGTTCTTCTGTTAGAGTGATTGGTCTTCCGCTGCAGGCCCATCACTCTAACAAAAACCCTCCGGCTTTAATCCAAAAGCTCACTTCAGCTGCAAGTAGGACTCCCACTGCAATAGCTCTTTCAGTCTAAACCTCGAGCGTTCTCAGCACATCTTTTCCTCTTGTGTAAAATGGAAGAAGATCTGAAGAATATAGACAATGATCAATCTTCCCAATGGATGCGCCATGCACTTGCCATAGGAATTTGGACCTCCGAACAGGCACGCCATCGCGTTGTGATCATTTCCTGACAAATACGACCCCCCCCCTAATTTCTATCCTTTAAGTATGACCCTCCCCTCCTCCATACCTACCACTTTCCTAGATTTTCCCGACTTCCTTCCATTTTTCCGAAAAGTTTCCAGTTTCTCAGCCAAG